GAATAAGGCGAAGTATGCACTATATAAGTGCAACACTTTGTGAATTGTTTAATTAATTAATTCATTCATTGAAAACAAATATTCCAGCCCCTTTTTCTTCTCTCTCACGCCAGATTTCTTTTGCTTGAAGAAAATATTTCATTTGATTTTCATCTTGGTTCTTAAAGGCTAAAGAGGATCTAGCAAATTCCTCTTTAGTTCCTTGAGGTTGTCTTCATGTGGACTACATTGGTTCGATCCTACACTTGGGTCGGTAGTGAAATCCATTCCGAGACAAATTGGAGGAGTCTCTAAACGTGGGTATGGTTTCTTAACCTTGAACTGTTTTATTGCAGATTTTAATATATTGTATAAACTGTAAATTTGTGCCTTGATCTTGGTTATAAGGAACGATCTATAATGTTTAAATAATTTTTGTTTCCGCTGTCGTGTATGATCGGTTCCTAATAGTGGTATCAGAGCCATGCATACCAAATTTTACAGTTTATTGTATGATTTATAACATGTATTTGATTGATAACATGTTATTTTTGTTAAATCTGCAAAATCTACTGTTGAATGAATGATTCAATTGATAAATTGGTTTAATAATGTGTTGATGAATGTCATATTGGTTGGTTGGTTCAAATTTTTGTGCATTCGATTCGATTTGGATTCGTGTTATTATATGAAAAACTGCAAAAACACGAACTGTGCATTTGGGATTTCCAGAATTCGCTACGGCAAAGTACTTGCTGGAATTATTCGCCGCGGCGAAATAAAAACTTCGCCGCGGTGACGAGGCTGTTGTCCTAATTCTGTATTTTTCACAAAGGGATCAAACTGCAGTTTTTAATAACCTATAAAGCCAATAATCATTCTGCACATATAAGAGGGTAATTAATTAATAAACCCATCCAATTCAAAAATTGATTGTTTTTGAAATGTATGCTATGTACTTGTTTGTATATTGCATGGTACTCGGTACATGAGCCCTATGACCTATGGTGAATGTTTTAAATTATTTTGGTTATGTATGGTTATAAGTTTTTAAAATAGGGCTTGGGTGTGCTGTCTTCCTTCCCCTTCTTGATGTGTATTCTCTTCTCATCTCATTCCTTTCGAATGTAAATCGAGGTTTCTAAATTTATTGATGTAAAATTACTTTAAGATTAATTTTATTGTAAATTTAGTATGATGTTTTTGTTAGAGTAGATGCCCTAAAGCCAATCAATTATTGTGGAATTGACTCTTTGTAATAATGTTCATTAATCAATAATAAAAGGCATTTTATTCTATATCGCGTAAATCATTATTATTGCAATATGTATTGATATATGTCCTTAGAATGGTAGAACCATGACGAGGGTATCAAGTGTTTCAAATCTTGATAGTGAGAACCCTATGAGCACATATGGTGGCCACTCTAGAAACGTCCGTAGCCCTAGTATTATTCTGAAGTAAGGGCACAGATAATACGGTAAGGCTATCATAGTGTTGAACGACCCTGTCGAAAGGCAGTGACTGATCTCACTTGTCAAGGTTGTTTGGTGACAACCTGGTGCAACACATGGGTGNACGGCTCTGCCTCAGTAGCAGTTGGGCAAGAAGGAGGAAACGTTATTTTAGTGTGTTTTGTGCTTGCTTGTGGACTGAGCGAGAGGAAGTCACGGGTGTGTGCAGTAAATAAAAAGAAGAAGATGCATTAAAGATGTCAGTTGTTGTTGGGCGAAATAATAGCAAAAAATTCACAAACGGTCAAAAAAATACTGAGTAATATTGAGAATCTTTTGCTGGATATATAAACCAAACGCAACGTTTACTGTTACCTTTATTGAGAAAAGCATTGATAGTTTTTTAAAAACTGAACCAAACGGAGCCATATAGTCTATCTCTTTTCAAGACTTCGCTTCAACTCAAGGACGTTAAGGATTAACACATATACATATATTAGTTTCTCCTTACGACAGTTTTTTGTGCTGTGATGTTGGCAAACTGAAAAGGTAGAGGGCACTTTCAACTTAATGTGTCAGTATTACATTTTTTGGAACTGACGCATTTGTTCGGCATCAGAACAGGATGACATTGATGGACATAATACAATAATTTAGTAAAAAGTGTCGTAACGTTGGTGTACATGAATTGCGATTGTTGCGTCATGATAAATCATATTTCATTTAGTGATGACTTATACAAATCAATTTATTGCATAAAGGAATTCATATGTAGTAAAACTGAAAATAACTTGTAAAGAAAATAGAGTTTTAGCAATCTCTGCCCCATTATCAACAAAGAAGAACATAAAAAAGATAAACTAATTAATTTTTTCTTTGAGACCAAAGTCCCAATGCATCTGAACTCTCATCCAAGTTTGGCCAGTTCAAGAAATAAACATATGTTAACCTTTCTTTTCCTTTTCAACAGAAAATTTTCATTTAAGCTTATATAGAGTGCAAATTATACTCTAAATTCATGCTTAAATTTGACAAATCACAGAATTAGCAATTAGTACGTAGTTCACTGATCAACTATTAGAGATTATAGTATATACATCAAATGTAGTTAGTGAAGAACCATGAATTGTAATATAACAAGATTGAGGAAAATGTATTACAAATTTCATGAACCAATTAATCGATCTTTCCTTTAATCTAATAGACCAAACCTAACTCAGGATAACACATTCCTCTTGGAAATAATTAAACATTCCTCTTTAACCCAAGCTTAAGAAGAGACTTTTCTATTGGAGGCGCTCTCTTAGCCTTCTGCATATTGGAGTTTAATAAACTTATAATTCCCAGCTCCAAACCTTCTTAGGCATTTGTTTAATTTCTCAGTTTCTCTCACTCTACATTCACTATTTAGTTGATGAAGGTTAATTTAGTTCAAGATTCTTTCAATTTTCTCACTTACTTGAGCTTTTCTAAAGCCTAAAATGCATCAAGATTCCAACATTTACGCTGAAATCTTTCACTCAATGGAGGTTTTCAAGCTCAACTACAAGCAAATGGGAGGGAATTTAAGGTGTTTGTGCACCTAGATAGGGATCCAAATTCTTATTACCAAACGCCAAGTAATCTTACTGGGAAGTATGCAAGTGAAGGTTATTTCTTTCAGAATATCAAAGAAAGTCAGTTCTAGACTAATGGTCCCAACAAGGCTCATCTTTTCTTTATCCCTATTTCCTATCATCAAATGAGAGGCAAGGTATGAATTCATCTGGTCTTATTGTAGTTCAAGATAGGAATTGAACATTAATCGATTTTAATGTGAGCATTGAATGACAAAGTATGACATTGTTATTAGTTTTTGCACTGATTTTTTTTACCTAAAATTGTAGTTGACTAGGATTTTTTTGTTACCGTTAAATCTAAATATGAAGTTATGATTTTGCAGAAAATAGAAACTTATAAGAGGTCATGAGTTCTTGTAATTAGATTAAAGAATCATCTTCATCAAATGGTAATTAGATAACATAAAGAAATGTTCAATGCTTATCCTTTTATGAAGTTCCTGATTTTGTTCAATTTTGCCCAAGTTTGGCCTATTTTTTTTTTTTTTTTTTTTAATCACATATGTTGTGTTATTTACTTTTTATTTCTATTGTGCATCTCATTGTTTTCTACGCAGCTGAGAATTTCTATCATTGTTAAAATGTATGTGGAGAAGTTGATTTCCAAGTACCCATATTGGAACAGAACTTAAGGAGCTGATCACTTTTTTGTCACTTGCCATGACATTGGTGTCAGGGCCACTAAAGGAGTTCGTCTTCTGATGGAGAATTCAATTTGATTTGTTTGTTTGTCTCAATATGATCCACACAAGGATGTTTTCCTCCCTCAAGTTGCTGGAAATGGCTTAAAGAATAGGTAATTTCATATGGACTAAATAAACACTCTACATATGTTTGAATAATACCAATGTTTTCATAACCAACTCGGTCAATGAACCAGTTAGATGATTGGGTCCCAGGTTAACCGGTTCAATTGGCGAGTCAAACCGGTCAACACTATTTGAATATACAATATTATGTATATGCAAGTTTACAACTCTTCTATTTTCTTTCTTTCCATTGGGACAGTGTCTAGGAATATAGTGAGTTAAAATTAGCACACCCTAGAACTAATCTTCGATCCCATGTTTCGATCAAATAAGCAAGCAATATATTTATCATCATCACCAAACTTATAAATCACTGTAATTATTATTTTGTAAAGGAACCTCAATTTCGCAAAGTTATATATATTCTTACTTCCAATAATAAAAAAAAATTTGGGAAGAAGAAGAAGATCAAGATCTGAAGAAGAAGAAGAAGATGAAGATCTAAAGAAAAAGAAGATGAGGATCTAAATAAGACAAAGAAAATCTGAAGAAGAAGAAAAAGGGGATCTAAAGACGACGAAGAAGATCTGAAGAAGAAGAAGATGAAGATTTGCAGAAAAAGAAGATGAGGATCTGAAGATGAAGATGAAGATGAAGATCTAAAGAAGAAGAGAATCTGAAGGAGACCGAAGTTTGATTGTGGTGGAGTGGAAGTGGGGAGGTTGATTGAATTCAAATGAAAAATTGAAAATGGATTTATTAAATCACTGTAACTCGGTTTTAGCCCAAAATCGGTTAGACCGGTGGTTTGCTATAGTAACCTTAGTCCAACCATGGGTCAACACAAGTAAACTATGTTCTCCGATTTTCTGTCATGTAAAACCCAGCTCAGCCCCTGGGTCCATGTTCAACCAGTTGAACAGGTCAGGCCAGATCAGGTTTTAAAACATTGAATAATACCACCTGATAAGACAATGTGTTCTGATTATGAAATGGATGACAAATTATTCAATTGAGGCCCCATTACATCCTTAGTAATGGTATGCCAAAGTTTTTATTATTGACCATCTAAAGGCTAATTAATCATCATGACATGAACTAGTTGGACATGGTTTTGTATTTTGATATGTATTTGGTTTAAGCATTTTTTAAGTATCATAGAGTTACTTGCATAATCATATCCTAATGATTGAAACATATTATAGGACTATGCTTGCATTCTGGGAAGATAACCACAAATCAAAAGTAAGAAAATAACAAATGGGAGAATGACAAAGATTATGCCTTGATTGAGGCTTGATTCTAGGCAATTACATCTCAAGTAATCTCCCTAAAATATGTAATCAAGACATTATTACAGTATTCTATTTCCTAATTTACATTGACATTTTTTGTATAAATTGAGCAATATACAAAGTATACAAACGCAATATATAGAAACATATTTTGCAATTTTCTTCTCTTTAGCCATACTCTAGCATCTTTATTTCTTGTCTTGCCACTCTTGCCTTTCTTCCAAACTCTGACGAAATCTTCTTCACTCCTGTTAGAAGGAGGGTCTTCATTTACGATTGAATTTGTGCCAATTTCACTCTTGGTTGCACTACCATCATGAATTGTCATTCGGGAAGACAATTGTACTTCTTCTTCTTCCTCTAGGAATAGCTCCTTATAAAACTCATCATCATTCAACTCATCATTTTCAAAATCTTCTCTGTTTCCATTAGAAGGAGTGTCTTCACCTAAACTTGAATTTGTAGCATTTTTAGTCTTTGTTCCACTACCATCATCAATTATCTGAAAAGAGGTTGTACTTGTTCTTCATCAAGAAATAAATCCCCAAGGTGAATACACTCATTATCAGTACTTAGACTAGGAAAAGTGCTTCCATAAATGTTGAATTTGTTGCAATGTCTTCAGTAGTATCATGATCATTCACAGGTGTTGTGGCTTTCGATTCTACCTGTTCTTCATAATATTGAACCTTGAAGCACTTTTAGACTTAAGGTTCTCATCAAAACGCTCAACTTCATGCGACTTCCTCTTTTTTTCCAAACCCTTCTTCTTAATTGGCCGATCATTCTTTCAAATTCAACAAATAATGTACTCATCATGACCCAATAATGAATACTCATGCATCATCCAGTCTCCATCATGTTTAGACCCTTTCTTTTCATATCTATATATTTTTTTGGACCTAATTACCATATCATCATTAGTTTGAATTTCTTTGGTAGCATTTTCACCTTTCCAAGAACCAGAACCAATTCTCCTACAAATTTGTTTGCTCTTACTAAACTTTTTCTTCGAGGCAGTGAAAAAGAAAAGATCATCATCATCCTTCGACTCTCTTTTATAAAACTCCCATATCTCCCAAGGTTCATGAGTACTAAAAAGATCACAACCTTTGATATTGTCAGTGGCCAATTGTAAACCAAAAATCTTGTTGTACAAATAATAAGAAATTAATTGATGATCAGTTTGGTGAAACTTAAAGCCGGGAAGAGTATAAAATCTTAGATAACCAAATTATGAAACTAAGCTCAGTAGAGGAGAACTAAAACTTCAACATTCTCGCGTTGACATATATATAAGCGAATAAAATGAATAAAATATCTCAATTCTCAAACCTTAAGAATTGTATCAGCACAGAAGACCAAGTAGGTAGAAGGCCTAGCTTCATAAATTGAAATGAACTTTCTAGAGATCCATACTTTTTTCATATCAGTCAAAATTGTCAATTCACCTTGTAAATGACCAAAACTCTAGAAGTGTTAAATTAGGGGAAAAAAAAAGAAGAAGGAAAAAGGTATTAATAAGTGAAGAAAATAGATAAATAAATAAACAAATAAAACACACCTCGTCTCTAAATTTATCAATGTCCCACTTAATAGGAGAGAGATCCATAGCTTCTAAGACAAAATCATGAGTCCAATAACTCTGGTCCAAAAGAAAAAGTTTAATTAATTTCCAATCATTCCAATAACTCTGCAAATTAAAGAACTTAAAGGATAGCAAACTGAAATTGTCACTTAGCAGTCAGAAAAATTTGCAAGAGGCATATTGGTGAATAGCCTGATTGAAACAACCATAGTATGCTTATTCACCCCCATATATGGCAGCCAAAGAGTAAATAACAAAGCTAAAAACCTTAGAACCAAGTCAAGCATAACTTCATCAACAAAACCTAACTTAGGATAACGCAACAAAAGAGAAGATTTTTCTTGGTCACTTGACTCTCAAGCATAATTTCATCAACAATAAAAGGTGCTCCAATAGCTTCTTTGTTGTCCACTGCGCTCCATGGGATTTGTAAAAAAGCATTTCATCAAGAAAACTTTTCCCTTGTCTAACATATTTTCTAGTATGATTGGTGTCTTTTTCACCTTAACCAATTGATAGATGACAAACTTCTCATTCGTCCACCGCATAGCTGTGTCCTTCTAGTAAACATCTCCACTACCATAAAACCAAGACACCATATGTCCAATGAAGTGTCAATCTCACCAAAAGCAATATATTCCGATGACATATAAATAGGTGTACCTCTAAACCTAAGCTTGTGACAATTTGGATTTAGTGTTTCATTAGGCTCTATTGTTAATCCAAAATCTGCGAATTTAACACTATTTATCCCATTTTTTTGGGAAAACCAGAATATTGACTAGATTAAAATCGTAATGCACATAAAGACCCTTCAATATTAAGCGAAATAGTATAGAACTTCAGGTTTAGATGATTTACCACCACACCTCCTTATCATACCTAGCAACCTACCTCCAGCTGCATATATAAGATGTAGATTGTAAACAAACTCGACTCCATGTTCATAATCTAAATTCGCTCCTAAACATTACACAATCTCTGATAAACTAGAAAGCTTCTCAAGAACTCTTCTTTCTTTTAAAAGTGAAGAAGAATGTTATAAAATTTTTGATTTCACAGCAAAGCAAGGCAAATTACGGATGGTGGGGATTGCAAGATAGACTACACCAAAGGAACCCTTACCAAGAACTCTTATTTTAACCCAATCCATGGATGCATAATAATGATTATGACTTTCTAAACTTGCATAGCCGCAACAAATTCTGAAGTTAGAGGGAAAATGTCAGTAAGAGGTAAAAAATAAGGGTGCTGCATTTGGAAAGAAGTTGTATCAAATCTATTTTTTTTGTTTGGATGAGCAAAAAGTAAACTACAATTTATGGCACTTGAGAGTTTCTTGGATAAAAAAAGTGTTGCGTTGAATTTGGAAACTAGAAGGGGAAAGCGAGAGAATCAGAGTTTTTTAGTGGAGATTTTGTAGTATATAGATTATAGAGTTTGAATCCAAGTTGCATCAGGAATTTGTTTCCTATTTTGGTTTCTATTTGGCTATTCATTTATTGTAAATATTATCTATTTAATCAGTCGAGTATCATAAAGGATATTGAAGTCGTGTGTTGAAGTTGGGATTGTTTTCGTATTAAGGAGAAAGTTCAATAATTTTTTCACAATCGGTAGGCATAAATAGTCAACATACAAGCTTAGATCCTAAAGTTTAGGATCCTAAATAATGTTGTAATTATCTAAATACAAAATACAAAACAAATAATTACAAGAATTCTAGTCTATGAGCAAGTTGACATAGCCTTGGTGAGTATATTAGCAAGTTGGTCTTGAGATCGAACAAGAGGCACTTCAATGAGCTTTGCTTCCAGTTTCTTTTTAAAAAAGTGTCTATCGATCTCAACATGCTTAGTTCAATCATCTTGAATTGGGTTATGGGAAATATCATATGCTGACTTATTATCACAGTATAATCTCATAGGACTGACCTGCTCAACATGTAATTCCTACTTTAGATTTTTGATCCACAGTAATTCGCATACTACCTTAGCCATTCCTCTATGTTCAACCTTAGCATTGGATCTAGCTACTATCTCTTGTTTCTTTCTTCACCAAGTAACTAGATTCCCTCCTACAAATGTGAAATACTTAGGCATATAATGTCTATCATTAATCAACCTAGCCTAATCAGTATCGATATAACCTTCAACCTTTAAGTTATCTCCTTTTGTAAACATGATTCCTTTTTCCAGGAGTTGACTTCAAGTGGCACAGGATACAAATGATAACATTCATATGTTCTTCGCTTGGAGAGTGTAGAACATATGAATGTTATCATTTGTACATTGTCAATACGGTACGGGTATGAGAAAAATTCAGATATGAGAAAAATACAGTACGGGTACGAGTATATATAGTTTTAATATGATACATTGTCAATAATACATTTAGAAAAAAAATATGGCAATATCAATTTTAGTTTTAGCACTTTTATGGACCACCTGGTTAAAATCAATATAGCATTTCAAATGCAAAGTATTCAATTAACCAATAAACACAAATACACAATATATAATTGAGATTTAAATTATAGTCTCTAGACTCAAACATAATATTTAGCCAAGATTCAACTATAGTGTCAAACCAAACACATAAGTCATAACAAAACCAAAATTCAAAGTTGAATTAGAGCTCCAAACAAATCAAATACTCAAAAATAACAACCAAGATTTAAATTATAGTTTATAACGAAAACTCACAAAGTACATAAACAACAATAACAACTTAAAAAAAAGAATTATCCAACCAAGAAATGTCATCATTATCCATCAAGTCATCCATGTAACCCTCAATCATCGATGTAGAATTAGCATCTTTGTCCATATGAATTTCTTAATATTCAAAGTCGGAAGCTCCCCCAATTTCTCAAGATCTATAGGTTCCAAGTCACGACTCATCGTGGAAGTGAGCTTATCTATCATCATTGTGTTCATCCTCACATGCACAAGTGTGTTTAGCATTTCATGTGACAACCTATTCTTTTTTTTTGTTTGAGCAGCTTCAAAGATACTCCAATTTCTCTCACATGATGAAGCACTACAAGGTTGACTCAGAATTCGAATGGCATACTTCTTGGGCACAGGAAGATCATCCCTATTGTAATCCTACTATATTCCTGCAAATGACATAAAAAACTCTCTTAAATATAAAGAGAGAAGCAATGTACAAAAAAGATATTGAATTTTTTTAAAACACTTACAAAGATGACTTGTTTGTAACATCGCTTTTGTCGTTGTAGTAAATAAGGTAGTTGACCTACTATGATACAACTGAATCTCTCTCATAAATTGATGCTTTTCTTCTATTAGAAGCAGGTTTTCATGAATGAAACTGATGTCATCTTTCATCTCCCTATCCTCTCTAAAATTTTGTAAGAAAAAGTAAGATGGATGGAGAAAGGCAGCTGTAGTATGTATCGGATGAATGATGTTTACTTTGAGAAATGTCATTAGGAATGAAAGAATTAACATATCTTAGAACATTACTCAATTTTATTCTAGGCAAAGGTGTAGGCTCTGATTTGAAGGATTTGGAAAACTTAAAGTTTCTTCGTGAACTTTACATTTCAAGATTACATAATGTAACTGTTTCACAAGATACACAGGACTCCGTATTAATTGATAAGAAGGATCTGAAAGTGTTGGTACTAGAGTGGGACTCTCAGTTGGATGACACACGAGATGAGTTAGTGGAAGAAAATGTACTGGACACTCTCCAACCTCACCAAAATCTGAAAGAACTCACAATCAAAGGCTACGCCGGCACAAGATTTTCATCTTGGCTTGGAGATTCAACATATTCAAACATAGTAGTGTTGACACTGGAAAGATGTGAAAAATGCACAGTATTGCCTTCACTTAGAAGCTTGGGCTTGCTTGAACACCTTACTATTAAAGGAATGACAAGAATAAAAAGGATAGGTTCTGAGCTTTTCGGAAAAGATTGTCCAACTCCTTTTAAATCACTAAAGACTCTTTGTTTTGAAGATTTTCAAGAATTGGAGCGCTAGGATCCTGTTGAAGAAAATGAGCATATTGAAATATTCCCTAGCTTGGATGAGCTATCCCTTGTGAAATGCCCCAAACTCCGTGGAAAATTACCCGATTTGGGCTTTCCGCACGGAGTTCTGAGAATTGAGGAATATGGGGTGTTAGAGGTTTTGTTCACAAGACTTCTATGGTTTTGCGAAGCAGAAATAGATGGATGCAAGGTGCAGTGTGGTACTTAAGTCTCTTACATATATTTCAGATTTCCGTAACTAATTAAGGTGAGGTTTTCATTGCCCCCAAGAAGAGAATGTATGATCTGGATCCAGTCATTACATTGTGATCTCTTCAACCATGTTTTGTTTCTCCTCGACCTTGAAATTAACAGCAACAATTCATATCTTATATTTTAATCCATAATCTGTAATTTAACTATCTTATTATTGTTTGTTTATGCAGGCCTATCTTATTGAAGACGCAGAGTCAGGATATGAAGTTCAACTAGAGTTAAGGCAACTAGTATATAGTGATAGCTAATGGCTGTCTGTTTTTCCTATTTGATGAATAAACTTATAAAGCACTTGTGATAAAATATTGTCTGTTTTTGTGTTTGTCTTAATATATTTAAAACTTTAAAATAGAGATGGTAATGGGCCCGATATTTTTGGGTACCCGTCCCGAAATGATCAGGCTTTACCCGATGCTCGCAGGCTTGGGCTTGGGCTTGGGCTTGGGCCTTGGCCTGATTTTAAGGCCCGACCTCGAGTATAGATCGGGCCTGAGTATGTCTTCAGGCCCGGCCCAACCCAATAATTTTAGTATTAAATATATTAAATTACTCTTATACTATATATTTAATTACAAGATTATCCTACATATATATACTCATTTTTCCCAAATCCTACATGGATAGATGGATGCACTTTGCGGAAAGTTATTTATATATTTGGTGAGTATTCAAAAATAAATTAATATTTAAAAATTGTTTCTAGAATTAAAAATATAAAAAAAAATTGAAATTTATTGAAATTT